TTCCCAAATCAAGCCCGGGTCTTCCCAAACCAACCGGGTCTTCCCAAACCAACTCCCGGATCGTGCAAGACCAACCGAGTCCTCCTAAACCAACTCTGGATTTTCCCAAACCAACCGGGTCTTCCCAAACCAACCGGGTCTTCCCAAACCACGCGCCCGAGTCTTCCCAAACCAACCGGGTCTTCCCAAACCAACCGGGTCTTCCCAAACCAACCGGGTCTTCCCAAACCAACACCCGGGTCTTCCCAAACCAACCGGGTCTTCCCAAACCAACCCGGGTCTTCCCAAACCAAGACCTGGGAGACCCAAGCCCAAGTTTGGTTTGGGAAGACCCGCTTGGTTTGGGAAAGACGCCCCTCCGGTGCCCGGATCGTCCCGAACGACAGCCCAGAGAACCTGCACCAACAAAACTGCTTCCAATACCTTGGCATCATTCGGCCCGCGTTCGGGCCCCAAGACCACCAAAACACTGATCCAGGCCAGAAAACTGGCCCCGGGAGAGCGGTCGGGATCCCTGGGATCGCGCATTGAAACAAAAGCATACACCCTGCGAAATGCTTAAGAAATCATGGGTTAAGAAATTCATAGTCTCAGAACTTGCGTAAAAACCCAACATTTCTATTGAAATCTTAGGATTTACATTGAAACGTTAAGAATAATCGAGACTCTGGCCGAAAATTTAGGTTTTCTTAAGCATCGCCCAAGGTGTAGCTCGTCGACATCTTGGACAGCGGAACAAAAATATTCCTCCCCGTGCGCGGGCGGGGCATCCGCACGACCGCTCGGAGGTCCCCGCGGACTCCTCGGGTCGGCGCTGAGCCCTCCCTGGCGGTGCCTCGCCTCCAGCGCTGTGCCGCTGGCGCGCTCCGCGCGCCAGAGAGGGGGGGCCCATCGCCGATCTCAGAACTCCGCGCGGGGCTCCGAACGTGAAATCTTAGGTCGGGCATGTCCCCCTACAGGGCCATCTTCGACGAAATATATAAAAAAATACCATAAGACATCCCAACATGGTCAAGCATACGCAACAAAACAGTCCCCAGACTATTTGATTTTTTAAAGTAAAAAAACTGTTTGTTGAATATTCCCACTGTAAGGGGGACAGGCCCGACTTAAGTGTAGATGTATGCAGCTTCTCTGTTCCCCCGAAATCCTCGCGCACGACGCCCGCGGTGACGCCCGTGGCCCAGCCGCGCGCCTTCAGCAGGCTCAGCAGCGAGCCCTCGCCCTCGTGGCCCACCAGGAAGCTGACGTACCCTGCGGGCTTGCAGCGCAGCCACTCCATGCGCATCGCCTCGTCTTATGCTGCCCCCATCGCAATTAAGGACCACATCCCAGAAATCATTTCGTGCACCTGGAAAAGGGTCGCAAGAGTGTCGAGAGAGTGTCTGGACGAGTGTCTGGACGAGTGTCTCCCGGGGCCCGACACGTGAAAACCCTAGAGTTTCGGTACTTGTTTGGTGCTCGAAATTCTTTCAGGTGATCAAGGCGAAAGTAGGTTGGAACATCATACGCCTCGTCAGGGAAAACAACCGTCCAGGCCACGGACACCAGCCGCCGGCTCGCCACGGGCACGGCCTGCACCATCTTCAGCTCGCCCGGCGAGGAGGCCGAAGGAAACGGGTCGACGCCGCGCCACGCCCGGTACGGGCTGGGCAGCCCGCGCCCCACCAGGGCGCCGAAGCTGTCCTCCACCCAGCGCAGCAGTGTTCCAGTGGTCTCCCTGCCGACCACGCACAGCGTCATCAGGCTGGCGTCGTAGTAGCGCCCGAAGAAATCCACGAGGGCAGCGCGCGTGTCCAAGCCCCGCCTCTGCGGCTCCGTCAGCAGGGTCTCCAGGTTCCCAGTCCCGAACTTGCGCTGCGGGTGGCCTTCGGCCGCGAAACTCTTCGTGAGCTGGTTGAGCCGGAACGAGTCGTCCTGCCGATTCTTGGCGTCCTCGGACTCTATCGCAGCGAGCTCGCGTGCGGTGGCAGACGGCGTGAAGAGGGGAGACTTGAAGAACGAGCTGAATCGCACCAGGCTGTCCTGCAGGGCCGGTGGCGACACGTTGAAGTAGTACGTGGTATCCTGCTCGGTGGTGAACGCGTTCTGGCTGCCCCCGTTGGCGGTCAGAAACTGCCGGAGCGAGTTCTCCCCAGGGAAATCCTGTGCCCGGTAAGCGCATGCGATCAGGAACAAATCACTGCATAAACATAGACGTTCAGAGGTCCGCGCGGGTTTCTCGGATAGGCAATTCACCCCCCTTCCTGGCGCGGTGCGCGGCACGGAGCTCCACAAGTTGATGTTTGTGCCGCTTAGCTTCTTCCGGAATGTGCTCGCAGAAGTGCCAAGACCGCTACTCCCTGGACCTCTCCCAGGGTGCGCTCTGACTTTAGATTCAATTTTATCCCATCGCACAACAACTGCACTCCCCTTCGCCGAGCGATGGTGACACTGAAATGCACCACGCAACCCCGGAGCCACTCAAGGACCAACCTGCAATCGGCGAGCCCGTCCGTACAAGAAACCTGCTCTGATTAGAGCTTCGAGGCAAATCCAGCTGTGGCGACGAGGGGGTCTTCCAGGAAGAGGCCCGACGAGGTGAGCACGAGGGAAGGGCGGCGGCATGGGCACGTGCCTTTTTTTCCTCCGATCCTTTGTGCCCAGGAAGAGCATGTGCTCGCAGAAGTGCGCAAGACCCGGCAGCTCGTCAGGATCCAGATAGAACCCAGCGTGCACAGCAACCGCCGCCGCGGCCGCCGTGGCTGCCGAGTCCGAGACGAGGACCGCCCGCAGGCCGTTCGCAAGGCGAACGGCCTGGTACTCCCGCGAGTCGCTCGGGCTCTTGGCAACCTCAGAGGCCTCCCAATTGGTGTCCGAGCAGATGGGGCTGGAGGATCGCGCCGCATCCCTGCGATCCTGGCGCCGCAGAAAACGTTTCGAGCCGGGCATTGTCGCACGATTTCGGGACCCGGGAGCCTCACGGCTCGATCAAGCTCGAAACAATGCATTAACAAATGGGGTCTGGGGCTCCGCTCGTGATGCGCTTCGATGACGTATTGTTTTGCGTCGTCGGATCCGAGGGGTCGCCGATGCATCGGCGACGCATCGGCGACGCATCAACGACGCATCTGCACCGTCGGAATGGAGAAGCTCGGGCCCCACACCGAACCGCCTCGCCGATGCGGTGCCACTCTCCGACCCGTCCAGTCGGGCCCCATTGGGGAGGCCCAGAAACCTGCCCGCCGAAAGCCGTGGCTGCTGCAGCTGATGCCAGAGGAACAAAAAGCACGAACCACAATGCTCGGAACTCCGCGCGAGTTTCCCGGATCGGCCCTGGACCCCCCCCCCCCTCCTCCCCGGCATGCGGAGCGCGCCAGGAGCGGCGGAAGCGCCGCCACAGGACCCAGCGCAGATGCAGAGTAATGCGCCCGGAGATCCGAACAGGATGCTCATGCCGTCCCCGAACCCCCGACGTCAGAGCTTTGGCTCACAACTTGGCGCCTGGCAACCTACGTTGTTTCACAAGAGGGGCCCGCAGAGGCCCGGACCCCTTCGTTGGGACCGGCTTCTCCTCCAGAGAAACTGTTTGACGGCCCTGGGGCCTGGCGAGGAACCCCCTTAGGCCGAAAATTGAATTCTGAGTTCTTCTACAAACAACTCGCCATCGCTCGGACGTCCATTTCCTGTGTTTTGTTCGGCTTCGTGCGTGGTTTCTTCGGCAAATGGTCAAGGATGCTCCTCGATGGTCCTCACCGAGGAAAAAAACGTGCACGTCCGAGCGATGCCAGGACAAAAAAAACCCGTCGATCTCCATGGGTCTACCTCCTTGATGGCTTTCGGGCCACAGCCTCATACCTCGATTCTCCAGCGGCCGCTCGGGAGGACCTCAGCGTGCCGCTGGTGCCCTGGTCATCTCGGCACCGGCAGCACGCTCTCGGCAAGGCGCAGCCGCCGGCAGGCATCCCGAGGCTCAGAGACCGCTGGAAAACCACGAAAAAGTTGCAGAACCTCGGAACCGAATTCCTCTCGACTCGAGGGCGTCTGGGCTTTTGTTCTCTGAAGACGGGGCCGCGGGCGCCGCGGCCGCCGCGCGCCTGGACCGCAGACCAGCGAGGCCGCCCACACAGGCCCCGCCGAGCCTGGGGATCAACGTTCGGGCTTGGACGCCCGCCGTGGGTGCAGAAGAAGTGGATGCCATGCCCAACACCACATGGTGGGCCTGTGTTCTACCACCACCATAAGAAGGAGGGGGAGGGGGTCCTCCTCCTGCTCCCCTTTCTCCTCCTCCTCATCCTCCACCTCGTTGCCCCCTCCAACTTATGGTGCTGGTGGTGGAAAGCAAGCCCATCACCACATGTTGTCCAAAACCGGCAGCGGCCGCTGTCGGGCAGGCGGCCTGATGCCTTCAGTGAACCACGTCCGCGGCGGCGCGGCCAGCGAGGCTTGCTCAGCATCGGCGAGCATCGGCGATGCATCTCTCGGCGGGGGGTGGGACGTACCCACACCCCCTCTCGAGCCACGAACAAAAAAAAAACGACGGGAGGCTGTCCGCCATGTTCGGCCTCCGGGGGGTCCTTGCCGGGCCTCGGGACTGTCTCAAAGCGGCCCAGGAGGAACAGCCGGTGCCGGGGGAAGGGGCGAGACCTCTGGGGGTCGACTTTGCGGAAAAATCATGACGTCCGGGGTCTGGGGTCGGCGGGGGGGGGGGGGCCTTTATCGGCGGTGGACAAACCTCCCTTTAGTAAACCTCCCCTTAGTGAAAACGGCCTGAGACCGAAACCGACGGACCTGGACCCGCAAAAAAGGACGGCCGCAACGCCTCTCGCGAACCGAAAACGGCCAATTCCTTAATCGACGTGTCGGGGTAGGAGGTCTATCCTCGGGTCGGGCGAAAGGGGGGGATAGCAAAGGGGGGGTTTGAGAATCAGCTCACGTAGCTGATTTTCACGGCGCCTCCCGGCGCTGGAGGCGGCTATGTATCGAGGAATGGGCCCCTCGGTGAGGCCGAAACCAGCTGCATGCAGCAAATTTCGTAACCCCCCCTTTCCCGATCCCCCCCTCTCGCCCGACCCCATATCCACCTCCGACTCTATAGGGTCGACCCAGACTCGGCGAGGCATCGCCGAGAGGTCGGCGGCACGCCCCCCCATCGAGAGAGACCACCCGTCCCTGGGCGGGTCGGGGCTATGAGGGCCCCTGTCGGCGGACAGTTGGCGACTGGGCGTCGAGCATTCCCCCAGAGCCCATCGCCCCCCATATTTATATATATGTATATATATATGTACATATATACATATACATATATACATATACATATATATATATATAGATGTCGAAGAATCAGGTAAAACAACTATGGGGACAAGGGCAGTAGATGTTCGAACGGCCCGAGATTGCCGGAGCCGCGTCTCCCGACAGCACGCGGCTCTGAAGGCAGGCGGTCGGAACTGGAGCGCCGAGGGGAGCGCTGTCATCACCCCCCGCGAGAGGACTGGGGGGGTCATCCCCTGATAACTCCAGGGCTGGCATTGCTCCTCCTTCCTTGTTATGTCGCTTGGTTTGTTCTGTGGGGCAGTTGTGTACCGACGCCACCGCCACATGAACCCACTCGAGAAACAGGTTTTCGCTGGCGAGCGAATGTTATGCTAGCCAGCTGCCAGAACATGATAGCGCAACGAGGGCGCTGAGTGGTTCACCAAAGGCGCCGTCGCCAAAATACAGGTCACGAATTTCAGTACTTCACATCTGGGGCCTTCTTGCGAGGCACCGTCGCCGAATACTAGTTTGCGGCAGAGACGAATGTGGCCGCCTGTTGTCTGAGAGAGTAAAACAACGTTGTCTAGCCACTCCTCTCTGAGATCGCCCCCTGTAAAATTGCGTTCGGACGCTCTTTTCGGCCTCAAGACGGCCAAGATGGCCTCCAGCACGGACTCCACAACAGCCAAGACGACACCAACGCAGCTAAAGATGGTGCAAGTGAGCAATAGGATCCTAAACCGGCCAAAGAGAGCTCCAAGAGGCACTCCGCCTAAGACGGCCAAAAGGGCTTCCAAGATAGCACCAAGACAGCCCATGAGGCCCCCAAGAGGGCCCCGAGTCGGCCAGAGAGGACCCCAAGATCGCCAAAGAGACTCCCAAGAGGGCCCTAAAATGGCCCTGTAGGTGCGGGGGGCAACAAGTCGGCCCAGAGAGGCCTCAAAGACGGCCTCCGAAGGTGTAAGACGGGCAAGTCGCCTCTCTAAGACTGCACAAGCCCAAAAGGCTTCCAGGAGACCCCAAGAGGGCCCCAAGGAGCGCTCTCCTCCTCGTCCTCATTTTCTCCCTCTCCTCCTCCTCATCCTCCTCCTCTTCATCATCCTCCCTACCGCGCGGACGAACATGATGTCGGGATCGCGACCACTGCCGCGCGGTGTGAACTCGACCTCCTTCCTACCGCCGCGACGAAGACGAGGTCGAGAACGCGACCCGTCCTTCTCATACCACTTGTCAAACCGCGCCGTTCCTACACTCAGTCTCCTTCCTGCAGCGGTGTTGCACAGGCACGGTGGCGGGGTTTGCCGGAGTCAGCTGACTAAAACATGCGTTGTAAAATGTCGCAAGTGTGTGTGTGTGTGGGCAGTGTCGGTAAGCTTGCGATGACGCATCCTATGCATCTTGGGGTAATGTAGAGGAGCAACAAGCTGCACAAACATAAACGTTGGACGGTCTGCTCGGATGCCTTGGATCTGCGCCGAACTCCCCCTCCCTGGCGCGCGGAGAGCGCCAGGGGCGGCGATGGAGGCGCCGCGAGGGGGCTCCAGGGCAGATCCAAGAAGTCCGAGCGGAGCTCCGAGAGTCTGTGTTTGAGGCCGAACCTAGGGCAAGATGGCATCCTTCAAGAGCATGAGACCCTCCGCTGGCCGAAACACCCGGGACCACGAGATCACTCGAGGGCACGTTCCCAGAGTGCACAGGAACATCCAGCAGAAGCACGCAGAACATCTGGACAACCTCCCCGAGCCGACCTCGATCTTGTACTTCGGCCCGGCCGCATGCAGCTTTGTCGTCGGAGGCATGCCGTCGCCGCCATCGCCATCGCCGCCGCCGCCGCCGCCGCCGCCGCCGTCGCCGTCGCCGTCGCCGTCGCCGTCGCCGTCGCCGTCGCCGTCGCCGTCGCCGTCGCCGTCGCCGTCGCCGTCGCCGTCGCCGCCGTCGTCGTCGTCGGTTGCTGCCGTCGCCGCCGCCGTCGTCGCCGCCGTCGTCGTCGCCGCCGCCGCCGCCGTCGCCGCCGCCGGGTCCCCGAGGGAGCCCCGCGCCCACGAGCCCCCGGCGCGTGCAGGAGGCCGCCGCGGGCGCCGCGGGCGCGCGCCGCCCCGTCTGCCGCCGCGGCCGCGGGCGGCCCTCCGCGGCGGGGCCTCCAGCCTCGCGGGGGGGGGGGCGGCTGCTGGGGCGCGGCCCTCGAGGCCTCGAGGCCCCCTGCCAGGGGCGAGGGGTTCGAGGCTCGAGGCCTCGAGGCCTCGAGCATCGAGGATCGGGGGCTGGAGGCTGGGGGCTAGAGGCTGGAGGCTGGAGGCTCGAGGAGCGGGGATCGAGGCTCGAGGCTCGAGGCTCGTGGCTCGAGGCTCGAGGCCTCGAGGCTCGATGCCTCGAGGCTCGAGGAGCGGGGATCGAGGCTCGACGCTCGAGGCCTCGAGGATCGAAACTCGAAAATCGAGGCTCGAGGCTCGAGGCCTCGGGGATCGAAGATCGAAGGTCGAGGCTCGTTGATCGAGGCCTCGAGACTCGAGGATGGAGGCCCTGTGGCCCCTGGTGGCCTTCGGGGGCCCTCCTCGTGGCCACGGCTCGGCGCGGCTCCGACGAGTGGTGCGCTCGGACCCCCAGCAGGGGCCTCGGTCTCAAGCCTCCGGCGGCCCTTGCTGAGGCCCCCGGCGGCCCTTGCTGCGGCCTCGGTCTCCAGCCTCGGCGTCTTCAGAGACGGGGGCCTGAGATCCCAGCCAGCCGACGCAAACGCTCCCCAACCATCGAGGCTCTGAGCTTTCGGAGGTTTCCGCCGGTTCTCAGCGGTCGCCCCGCCTCGGGATGCCCTCCAGCGTTCCGGGGGCGCCCGGATCGTGCCGAGCGGGCCACCAGCGAGCCCAGCGACCCGGAAAACATCCAGGGGATCCGCTCAGAGGGCACGGCGGAGTGTTTTCACTATGTTCTGCCTCTGGCGGCCCTTGCCGGGCCTCGGGGCCGCCAAAACACGATCCCCGTGCAGTGGTCCAGACCTCTGCGCGGGGGTCCACGTCGTGAGGACATGATCCAGGCGAAGGGCCCAGCCATCTGCAAGTGTGACTGCGGCGTTGTGGGTACCGTTGTCGGTGGAGCTCCTTCTGAGGCTGCGAAACGTGTTAGGAGTGTGCCCGTCATGGGCGGGGGAGACGCGCGCGGCGGCGGCCACTGGGGTCGTCGGTGGAGCTCCCTAAGGGGCCACGGAGCGCTGTACTGGTTGGGGGGGCGCATGAGGCCGCGGCCACTGGAGTCTTCGGTGGAGCCACCTTACGGGGCCACGAAACGCTGTACTGTGTGGGGGGGAAATACCTGCGGCCGCGCCACTGGAGTCTTCGGTGGAGCTCCCCATAGGGCCACGAAACAATACACCGAGTGTAAAAAACACAAACTACGAAACGTACGAAGGATATTCCAAGTCGGGTGCGGGGATGCGAACACCGCCACGGGAGCCGTCGGTGCAGCTCCGCACTGGGCCACGGAACGCGTGAGCAGGGGTGACCCGCATCGGGTGCCGGCCTGCCCCGCTCGAAAACGTTGCCCCGGGCCTACCCTGAGATGCGGCGCTGCGAAGAAAAGTGCAGCATCGGAACCGAATGACGACCAGAGCCCCAGAACCCTCACCGCTCTGCAGCATTCTCCGAGCCAGATCGATGTAATCGGCCGTTGAAAAATTGCCCTCTTCCCTCCTCGTCGTCCCCCCCCTTCCCCTTCTCCATGTGCAGCGCAGCCTACCCTAGCACAGCGTATGGACAAAGTGCCGAGCGCCTGTCGACCGAGGCACTGCTGCTGCTCAGCGTCTTTGCAGCGTCCTCTTCTGTATGGTACCACACATGTGCTAATTTTACTTGCAGTTGCTGCCGATGCGCCGTCAGGGCGCGGCTTATTCGTTC